TATCTTTCTATCTATCTATCTATCTATCTATCTATCTATCTATCTATCTATCTATCTATCTATCTATCTATCTATCATCTATCTATCTATCATCTATCTATCTATCTATCTATCTATCCACTAATTCAACTTATAGAACCCCCCATAGTGCAATGCACTCTCTGGGTGGTGTACGATACGAGTGTTAGATCCATGGGATCAGTACCAGCAGTTTCACTTATCTGCTGCCTGAAAATAGTACTTACACCACCCTCCAGAAATATGTTTCCAATGTGTATTACCCAAACTGCCCACCAGAGGGAACAAGAGACCATGTTCTACAGAGCCTTTCTATACCTGCGCTTTTCAGTATTCACAAGGGGTGTGTGGTCTTATTATAAAACAAAAAATACGATAAGAAAAAATAGATACAAATGCAAATCAACAGACAACTCAATCAATCCAGAGCTGCTCAGTGGTTTAGGTCTCTGCCTGCGTAGACAGAAATTGGGAGTTCTATTCCCCCCACGGTGCCTCCTTCCTAAGGGCTGGACTTCATGATCCATTGGGTGCGTTCCAGCTCTGCAGTTCTAATATTAATATTATTAACTAATAAATCACTGATTAGCTGACCTATCTTTTAAATAAATAAACAATTAAAGATGACACTGGACATCACGAGATACTTTTTTTGGACTCCAGCCAAAGGACAGCTGAGGGAATCCGAAAACGATAGTCCCAAAAAGTAATTTTTCCAAGTTCTGGCCATATGCTATAGTCCAGTGGTCCCCAACCTTGAGTCTCCAGATGTTCTTGGACTACAACTCCCAGAAGCCTTCACCGCCACCTCTGCTGGCCAGGATTTCTGGGCGTTGAAGTCCAAGAACACCAAGGTGGGTTTATTATGTCTCATGAACAAGAGAAAACCTGTGAGGCAGAATCCAAAGAAACAAAACAAAACAAGAACAACAAAAGAGACAAAAATATGTGGCACCTTAAAGATTAATTATTATGTTTTAATGTGAGCTTTTGTGGATGCACCCATGTCATCAATTTGAAAGAAAAAAAAAGAAAAAAAGAGAGAAATACTGGATGAAATACCAATTTCACAAGTAAAGTATACTAAATATTCATTGGCCCTAAGGCTCTTGGTTGTGTGGTTACACCTCACATGCAGTAATTTGTGGGCTGTGTTTGGTGTTAGGTTCTGTTGTAAGCATTCCTGCGGGAGACAGAAAACGGATGCCAGGCATGAGAAAACTTGATACACAAATGTCATCTTTTGATGTTTCTCCTAATTTGTAGCTCTGCATTGAGTAGGACCAGGACTGAATGACTTCAAGGGGGAGTAGTTGTGATGGCCAGCTTTTTAAAAAATGGACACGATTCCCTTTTCAGCTACTTGGGTTATCATCCACTTCCTAATGTCGATCCATCCTGCGTCGACTGCAGCAGAAAAGATTGATTTTTAAAAAGAGAGAAAATAAATCACCTCCAGCTGAAAAAGGTCAAATTTTTATTTATTTAACCATTGCTTTGAAGAATAGAGTTCTACCTAGGGATATCCTGTCAGGTAAGCGTTTCCCCAGTTGCCCTTCAGTATACTTAAGGGGATATGAAATTTTGCTATGTTCCTGACAGCCTTTCATTGTCAACTATGAACAGGGAGGCTCTCCCATCTGTTTTTCTGTGGGTTAAATTTAGGGAGATGGGGGGGGCAACCTGGGGAGAAATGTAGGTGATCTCCTTATGTCAAATATCACTGGCTTTTCTTAATAGCAGAGGATGCAGCTCATTTAGATACTGCACAAACGACAGAACCAATGTCTAGCATTGTATCTCTTAAATTTCAACGGAGATGGGAAAAGTTCTATTTTTGCATTACAATTCCATTCCGAGGCATTCTGGGAGTTGCAGTCCAAAATTTTTCCCAGCTCTGAGCTTCAGCTAGTGGCCAGGGCTTTTCAATTTAAAGCATTCTTTTGCCCTCATTGTCCTGTTTTGAAATAATACGCACTCGCTCTCAGCTGGAATACTAGTCCTATGGAGGAAGAACAGGATCCACTCTTAATCATCTCAGGGTACAGATCTTCTGTTTTCGCATCCAGCTCTTTCCATACTGAAACAGCTGCTGTTGTTTCCCAAAAGCCTGAAAATAACATCTTTGCAGTGATAAGCAAGCCACCATCCAAAATTATCTGCGATCTATTTTTAACACTGCTTTCCCCCCAAATAACCTAATAGAACAAACATAGGGGCTGAATGGGAACTTTCATATCTGATAATATCCTGAACTGCTCTTGTAATAATGCTTCAAAAATACAATCTCCCTACAGGTGGGAGATTTTAAAGAAGGTATTCCCTGCCTTTTAACATCTCCTCCAACAAATACTGGCTATATTTCTATATGTTTTTGGTAATCTCACTAGAGGAAATACTGTTATCTAAGGATTATATCTTTTTAGGGCAAGAAGAATGTCAAGCCTAGGGCCAAATCCTGCCCTATTGGAGTTCCAGTTAGGCCTATCTGTATCCCTCTTTCCTATGCTATCATCAATTGCTGGTTTCTCACCTTTGTATAGTTTTCTTTTCCCCTTCTACGAGGTTGGAATGCCTTTCTCTTAAGACAGTTTGATTCCCAACCTTGGGGAAAAGAATCATGTCGGCGATGAACTGCACAACTAGTTTTGTGATCGGTGCAAGAATGGGCATTTACTTATTTATTTAAAATATTTTTACCCCACCTTTCTCCTTAAAAAAAGACCCAAGGTGGTCTTTTATCATTAAAAAGACAAAAACAATATCATTAAAAAGCTAAAAACAATAAGTATCCAAATATTGTAAAAGAATTAAATATTATATTAAGAATGGTAAATAAAATTAATACTAAAAACACAGTTAAAACAACAAGGTACAAAAATCTATTTTTTTAAAAAAAATTCCTCTTGGACAGCTAGATAGGAATGTCATGAGAAATCTACCAAAGCCTGGGAGAAGTTTATGGGATTTACCTTCCACTCTGCATTAGACAATAGGATACGAGCCTGAGTATTTCAGTAGCAAAGGAAAGAGAGATTAAAATACTTAGGTGTCACACACAACATCAAGGGTACCTTTACCTGTTCTTCTGTCAATGTTATCTACTGTATGCCATCTTTTGCCAACAATGCCCCTCTGCATTCTACATAGGACAAACGGGACAATCTCTGCGCAAAAGAATTAATGGACACAAATTTGACATCAGGAGTGGTAATACACAGAAAGCTGTGTCTAATCATTTTAAGTTACCTGGACACTCTGCACAATATTTGAAAGTTGCCATTTTGGCGAAGAAAAATTACAGGACAAGAATCCATAGAGAAACAGCTGCGATAAAAATGTATACATATGTTTAAAGACCATCTCAATGGTCTTAATATAAACCAAGGTTTTTTAGACCACTATCAAATATATAATAATTTATTGTATCTGTTATATTCTCAGCTATATCCCTTTTCTAACTAACCTGTGCCACCTCACAAGCCCCACTGGTGATTAGAGACACTCATTATCATGTTGTTCCTGCTTGTTCTCTGGGATTAATTTAGCCACTAATCATTGTCGTTGTTTAGGGCAGGGGTCCCCAGTCCCAGTCTGTGGCCTTGCCAGGACTGGGCCATGGAGACAAATCTGCTGGCCCCCCTGCACATGCAGACGCACACACGGCCCTCCCGCACACATGTCCCCCATGCACGTACGGTCCCTCCATGCACAGATGCACATACGGTCCCTCCCATGCATGCACGGATGCCACCGCACGCTAAACCAGTCTGTGGAGGCAAAGAGGTTGGGGACCACTGGTTTAGAGAATACTGCTTTCTGTGAGGGGAACTAAATATCAACATGAGTCCTAAAGGTCATTGGCAGGTCAACAACTTCTGCCCAAATACGATCTCTGGTTTAGGTCATTTTTAAATGAACACCAGAAAATTGATGCTTTTGAATTGTGGTGCTGGAGGAGGCTCTTGAGAGTCCCCTGGACTGCAAGGAGAACAAATTTATCCATTCTGAAGGAAATCAACCCTGAGTGCTCACTGGAAGGACAGATCCTGAAGCTGAAGCTCCAATACTTTGGCCATCTCATGAGAAGAGAAGACTCCCTGGAAAAGACCCTGATGTTGGGAAAGTGTGAAGGCAAGAGGAGAAGGGGACGACCGAGGACGAGATGGCTGGACAGGGTCACCGAAGCTACGAACATGAATTTGACCCAACTCTGGCAGTGGAAGACAGGAGGGCCTGGCATGCTTTGGTCCATGGGGTCATGAAGATTCAGACACCACTTAATGGCTAAATAACACAACAACAATAAATGTGTAAATATTTGCCATTTGGTCCCACTGTTATGTCTGAGGAAGTGGACTTTTGTCCACAAATACGCACACATTAAAATACAGCAGTTAGTCTTTAAA